GACGCGCGTGCAATTGACAGGAAGTGGCGCCTGCGCCAGCGAGTAACTTGGTAACGTAATAGTTAACAATAGGATATTTGTGCGTCTCGCTAGTCGATCGATACGCACGGAGCACGCTGCACTATTGAGGGGGTGTTTCGCACTATTGAGGAATTGACCACGAACACGCACATGCAAGAGTATTAATTTATTGTTATTTAAGGTATATGAAAAAATGCGATCTTTTTATATATAATTCAGGTGTGCAAAATTTTAGTCATTATTGTTTCATTGTTTTTCGAAAATATTAATTAGAAGAATAAATATTTTCTTGTGAAACAACAGTCTCAAAAAAAGCAAGTATTTTTATAATAGTTTCTCCTGTAAGAAACATTTATCTTTTTAATATCAAGAAATTTTTGTTGGATAAAACGCGCGATACTGTCTTTGAATAATATTATCGTATTAATATATGTATTTACAGTTTATTTATTAAATATATTTCTTTTATTTCTCTATTATATCACATTTGTTCTATACAAAATATATTTACGATATACATATTTGCTAATTTAACGTGCGGCTCACGCGCGTGGCGGGAGTCATCGTTCTTAATATATTTAGATATACCACAGAAGTCTTAATTACCTGAAACAACAACGTCTTCCTTCCTATTTATCGATATGATTAATCACATTTCGAGAATTGAAGCATTAAACATTTTAATATGTAAATATCGCAGAAAATTCTGTTGTACACTGTGAAATGTTAAAGAATGAAATTTAAACCAATACCTTGAATTAGATAATATTTTGTTATTTAACTACCATGTGCGTCAAAATTTATTATTTTAAAACAAAATAGTATTATTGTAACTCCATTGGTTTAGTCAAATTAACATTGTTTCAGTTAAATTAACTATGTATTGAGTAGGAGCAATGGCGACCTATAGGAATAATTAAAAATTAAATTTGTTGAAAATTATACTCAAATTGAGTATAATTTGATCCTATGAATTTAACAGTATGTCAACAGTGTATCATAATTATTATTACATTTGTTTATTTAACATTTATTCTCTATTTAACATTTGTAAGATATTCCATACATGTGTTTCATAACTTTCTGAGTTTCTACGTTTTATGTTGCCATCGTTCGTAAGATATTCATATATGCTGTGGAAGTTTTCATTATCTGAAATGATAAAATACCTTTTTTTTTGCTAACAATAAATGTACAGCAAAATATTACATTGTTGACATTTGCTTCGATACAGTATGTTGTATTAGATCAAGTCGTGAAGTCATTATACAATTATTATAACAATTTATGAACGATAAGAAAGCAAATTTTATCAAAATTTTATTTGACATGGTCGATAACTGTAGTATGTGCGTTACTTACGTCACCAAAGGTTGCTATGGATAACGTAACTAGTTTTCCCGCAGTTATCTTGATAATGTGACTCGATTGCATGATTATCAAAATGAGACCAAGCGCTGTTTTGTGAGGCAGTTTATACCAATTAGTCATATATACTATTTCTCCAACTTTTTTACACTAGTAAATGAAAATATTAGAAATTTCTTCAAGATCTAAACGTCTAATGATGGTAAAAACATTAAAGGATATGATTAATTATATTTATTTGTTTATCACGTATTATTGTAGTTACAATTCAATGGCTAATGTGAGTTTGGGTTGTACTTGCGATAAATTAAATTATGCAGTACAAGTATGTACAAATAAACTATTATTGCGATTTCTGTTATTTCAAGGTATTACCTCTTCTGTAAGGATTTCACCGATGTAACAAAATACAAATATATTGAAACTCATTGTTATGTATCCAAAAAAATATGAAAATATTTTTACCAAATTGAACGCATTCCAGGTCTGGAAAATTAATTAATAGCTTTATTTACTGCGGAAAAATAAGATTAATTTGTCTTTGCAGTATCACATTGCAGTTATATTATTTGCGATAGGAAAAGGAAATTTGATTCATCTTTAGCATACCATAATAATGTAATATCCAAATAAACACATACAAATCGTACATCCCATCACTTCTCCTAGACAGGCTTTATGCATAATACTCTCTATTTGTTGTACAAAACTGAAACATATCTCTACACTTACGACACATTCAGGCGTGATGCGTTTCTTTTATAAAACTCATTTTAGATCTACGTTTTATCTACGATTTGTGTTACAGTATTTAGAATATTTTTTTACAATTTTTTTGCTGTGTAATTTGAAAAATAAAAAACATTTAAATAATTGGAATAAATAAAATACCCGAGGACTCTCCAATGGTGTTTCACGACGGCTGCAAGTTTTTTGTTTGCTAAATGATTTTTCTTCTCCTCCGCGAGCTCGTTTAACCACGTATGCATTACATTTAGTTGACCGCAAGCATGCATCGCGAAGACGGCAGCGAGACCGCAAACAGTTGCTGTAGAGGAAGCTATTACAAACGCCAAAAAGAATTGCACACCCCTCATGATCTCGTACGCGGGGCTAGGTCTCACGTCAAGTATCTTGCTGTACGCTGGACATGTCAACGGATGTATCGTAATAGTTTTGTTGTCGACGATAACGGTCGTTGTTTCCATCGCCTTGACCACGTTAAAGATGTACGTACTACTATGTATAAACATCGCGAATAATGTGGTTATGAAGCGACCGATCTTGGCATATTGCATCATCACTTCACGGTCAACGTTTCTCTGAATGAGTTTCCAATCCGCTTCCATATGCTGTATGCAACGTTTAATGTCTTTGTTACGCGAAAGTAATATCCAGTAATTTATGGATCCCATGATTCTGTTAATCAGCGGAATAAGGTTTTTTAATTTAGTCTTAAAGTCTTTTTTCTCGAACAACATGTACAACATGAACGGTATCATAACGATCGTCATCGCGGTCCAATAAATGAAGATTTGCATTAATACCGCGAGTTTTTTCATTCTGTTTGGCGCGCTTATTTGTGGCCAAGCACCTAGCGATATGAGAGACCATCGATTGAATTGTATATTGTAGTCATTGATGTTTTCGTTATCTGTTACGCGTTTCGGATCGCTCATGATCGTTTCGCAAAGACGACCAGTACGTTACTGCCATGACCATCTAAGGTTTTGCTTAGCTGTAGCTAGAGACATGCATAAAAAGCTGGCGCTTGCGCCAGCTTTTGAGAATGTTTTTGTAATGGGACCCGTCCATAACATTGTCCTAAGAAGAGCGCATGCTCGTGTCCAATCAATAATCATTCTTTACACGAAGCCTGCTTGTCAGTTTGACAGGAGACAGCGTTCAGTGAAGAGTGTGAAAATACTTTTCCGAAAGTGACAACTCTTGACTTTTTGTTATTTTGTATCGCTTACAATTTGTCAAGTGAAACGTATATAATATGATAAATTAGTGTTTCAAAAAAATTATAGATGTAGCGATTGTAATATACGTAATAAAATCCAAAAGTTTTTGACGCAAGAATATGTGAAAGGTGATAAAATGAAAGAACTCTTTTTATTTTTCAATACAATCACTTTTGATTTTATTTTTTAAATTAATTATTTAATTTATCTACATCACTAAAAAATTATTCTGAATTTTCATAAATCGCATTTCAATTTAAAAGATTTTTTTTTTATTTTTTAAATAAAAGTCCAATGTACGTGGAAAACGGACTTGGTTTTAAATAACAGGTGGTTAAATACAACATTGTGTAAATGTCATTGCGTTGATCATATATTAAATGTATATAGTAATGCTCATAATTAGACGTAAAGTGTTCTTTTCAAGAGAACATATCTACCTACAAATAGAATATAGCTATATACATATGTATAACCACACATCGTTTTCAGTAATAATTAAAAAATTTAATGTTTCTTCTGTTTGTCTGTATGTCTTTGCTAATATTATTTTATGTAAAATGTATAATGCTCAAATTGTTCTAGAAAGTTTATTGTCTACTTACGTACCTCCATACTCTGAGATGACGCTCCACAATAACATATAACGTTTCCATTCGGTTATATGATTTCTAGTTTATATGTTTATAATCCTTTTGGTTTTTACAAATTCATGTGGTGTATTGCACGTTCAATTAAACACAGGCATGCATCGCGAAGACGGCAGCCAGACTGCAAGCACCGACCGTAGATGTAGATGATTTTACTATAAATGTTGATATCAGGAATTGTACAATTAATGCGGTTTCATTCACTGTGATAAATTTCGTTGTGGATTTGCTATAAATCGGACACGTCCGACAGTCACAAGTTTTTATCACCCTTGTTGTGATTAATAAAGATGCATCGCCATGCATAATCACCCGGCGACGAAACGACCGAACTTGGCGTATTGCAACATTATTTCGCAATTTTCAATCCCATTTATGATTTTCCAGTTTGTCTTTACGTGTCATATTAATTTACGAATGTCGCTATGCGGTTTGGAAAGCATCCATCCAATAATTTACCCCGTGAAACAACGGACCAGTGGCGCTCAGTTTCAGTTTGATGTTGTCTTCCTCGAATAATGCGAATAACGTTTATGGTATTATTAATGGTGCCACCATGATCAGATAAATGCACGTTATGCTTGAGCCGTTTATTTGTGGCCAAACATCATTTGGAGAAACTCTCGACTCACTCAGTTGAGGACTATAATCAACTTTACTTTTAAAACTTCTGGATATAGATTTTGACTTCTTCATGATTATTTTATGGATGTACTCGATATACTGTCACGGTGAATAGTGCGCTTGCAAGGATTATTTTCGAATATGCTCCTGCCTCGACTTCGAACAAAGTTTGGAACTTTATGTTAACGTTTTTTTTCCTGAGAAGCACGCTTGCACATTCGATCAATAATTGTCTATAGCATGTTTTTTAATGTTTGTCAATTTGACAGAAAATCGTGTACCAAAGAAGAATATGCGATTACATGTATAAAAGCAGGTCTAAGAAAGCATATTTATCTCTATTTTGTCTCTTTCTGTTCTTCTTTGGCGATACCGATATATTCATATTTTTAAATAATATTTTTCATTTGTTATTATATATCATATATTAGAATTTAAAAAGTAGGTAATGAAAAATTTTAAATAAATTCTAAATTCTAAATAATAGATGTTTTGTATTTTATTGGTAATTTATATAATTATTCTAATATAATATATATTAATTTATGGTGGTAACTAGAGAATTTGCTAACGCTTTGTACAAAATGGTGGAACTGTTGTCTAAGTAGCCGTCATGGTCCGGAGCATGTTTAAATATATCATAGAGGTTTTCATCACCTGGAAACGTTTCTTAAATGTAATAAGCGAAAAAATATATACAACTTTGTATACTCACATCACCGAACGTTGCGATAGAAAGATGAACTAGTTTTCCTGCAGTTAATTTGATCACGTTACTCGATCGAGAAATAATTAAGATCAGATCACGAGCCGTTTTATGAGGCAAACGGTACCAGTTAGTCATATAGGCTGTTTCGCCTACCTGTTTACACTATCAAATTATTTATTTCATAATATGAAAAAGTTATAATAATCGCATATATTTGGCTTTTAAAAATTTAAATTTTTTAAATTCATACTTGCGAATACTATTAAAATTTTAGCTTCGTGATTTATATTTTACCTGTTCTGTGACTACCTCGCCAATGTAACAGAATATAAAAATATTAAAAGCCAAGGATATATATATGATCGCGTAAGCTATTGACATTTTTTTCTCTATTACATTCCATCCCTGAAAGTTTTCGGATGTGTTATATTTTATATTTTATATTTTATATTTTATATTTTATATTTTACAATACATTATTATATTATTAAAAATACTATAATTTTAAATAATGATATAAGATGAATGCTTTCTCTGTAATTAATTATTTTTTATGTGTACGTCTTTCGTACTGCATTTTATGTAAAAAAAAATGAAAAGTCACATAATGCCGCGGTGTGCCTTAATTACATATTCAT